CTGCAGAAGGGGTCAGTATCCAAACAGACAGTGGCTATTTTACAGTTTCATTCTTACCGTAAAAGATAGAAGGCAGTGATGAACACCCTCCAAATGGAAGATGTCATCTGAAGAAGAAGTTAACACGTTATAAAAAAGGTTATTTCATACGGCAGTATCAGTCATGTCACTGGCAATAATGACAATATTTTGGCATCATCACTTGGCTTTGATGCACTGGGTTTCTGGTTATTTATTAGAGTTAAAACATAATGTCAGTTAGAGGTGCCAAGTGTCATTATAAATAGAGCCATGATCGTTTGAAAAATCCACCTGGTATGCAAGCTCCTGCAACCCACTCCAGTGTGTGTGTAAGAAAAAATTTCAAGAACCAATTAAAAGAAATGAAGGTGAATTAGAACTTTTTGATCATTAACTGATCTGTCAGGGCTATTTTACAGACATTCTCTTCTATAACAATGTTTTTCAGGTCTGTTATAGCTGAATTAAGATCAGCTTTGTGTAAAAAGAGGCACATTTGAATCTAGAAGAAAGCTTGCCTTATTAAAACGCATAGTCCTGAGCCTGAATCACCGGGGATCGGTTTCACCCAGTTATGCTCAGTAAAGCCACACTTGAGGACTCCAACCACCATAGGCAGCACGCCACAGAAAAAAAAAAAGAGGAAAGAACTGGAGACATTAGTCAGTTCAAATAGACGGTAAAACTTTTTCTGCTGAAGACAGCTGTGGGAAGCAAGGGTGTAGTGGCCCTGCTGTAAGGATCTTTGTGCCCTTCCATACCAAATTTTGATGGAACCAAATTTTGATGGAACCAAATTTTGAGGGACCTTGTGATCTGGAGGATGTTACTAGTCTCTGTTATTTAGGGTACCAGGAAAGCTGAGGAGCAACGACTTTATTCTCAGCCCTGGGCCCTGGCTGGAGTTTCTCAGATAAGCAAGGTTGTGGTGAAGTCAGCTCTGGCCTTTCCTGTCCCTGCCACTTAGTAGTTTTTGCAGGTAACAAAGACCAATAGAAAACATTAGCAGTGTAGCTGCACAGCCTTCTGCCTTTCTGGTGGTCATTTTCAAGTCCCCCGAATCTTGGGATGATGCCATTGAATGACTGACAGTAAGGTCTCCCAGAGAAGATGACACTTGAATGTTAAATATAAACAAACCCAAATAAATCATCTTGACACTCCACTTTTTTCAGTCCTACATGGTACAAGCAAACATGTCTTCTGTCTTTCATATCTCAAAAACCCCTATTTTCAATCTGTATAAGTTTTCCCTTCAGAGCTCTTCACAGCCACATTCCCATAGCTCGTGCCAAACTGCTGAGCGCTCCCTCTGTGGCACATGGGAATAAGTGAGTGATCCCACTGAAGCCTGGCATATCTCTCAGCAGCAGCTACGTGTAAACTTCCCATAACTTTATCTTTGACCCAGTAAGGACTCATTACTTTTGTCACAAAACATTGTTTTTTCCCTTTGTAGGATCTTGATCGTGGTCCCAAATGGAAAACATGAGTTACACAGGTTTTGGATTGATCTGGGCATCAGTACATGCCAGCTCAAAAGCCCTTGCAAGCAATCCTGAAAGACAGAAATGTGCTGATAGTCAGGTGTTACCACCTGCTGTAGACCAAGGGGACTGAACATAGCAGACCTAGAACTGATGCCACAGAAAATGCTGCCTTAACAAATAATTAACATCTGCCCTGGCCTTTCATATTTACAAAATAATTTACAAACTTTAATTAATCACCACAGCATTTGTGTTATGTTGTAGTAAATACTATTCATAGGTAGCAGTAAATATTTTTCATCCATTCATATGGATGTCAAGTCTGCAGCTGAGAGATTAAATAAGCCAACTAAAGCCACACAGTATGTCCATGTCTGTCCAAGCACGCCTCAGAGTTCCGTTGTTGCCATTTGAGAGCCCAGCACTATTGGGTTGTGTGTGATATCACATCCTGAAGCATGCTCACCATCGTTGCTCAGTGATCTCACCAAGTGTCTTGTGCTGGCATCAAGGAACAAGGAAGAGCCTGAGACAGTAACCAGCTGCGACCCAGAGACTCACCTAGGGCAACCCCTGGTCAGCGTCTGGGGGCACAGGTCTCCTCTTCCTGGGCAGGTTAGAGACTGTACTGGGTTGGGGTTTATTTTCTTCTTAGCAGCTCGTCTTCTACTGTTTTAGATTTGCGACCAAAACAATACTGATGACACACTAATGTCTTAGTTATTGCTGAAAAGTGCTCGCACAGCAGCAAAGCCTTCTCTGCTTCTCCATCTGCCCCTCCCAGTGAACAGACTGGGGGTGCACAAGAGGTTGAGAGAGGACACAACCAGGCAGATGACTCGAACTAACGAAAGAGATATTGGTGAAACACTGGAACTTGTTGCCTGGAGAGATGGTAGAAGCCCCATCCCTGGAAACATTCAAGGTGAGGTTGGACAGGGCTCTGAGCAACCTGATCCAGCTAAAGATGTCCCTGGTCACTGCAGGGGGGTTGGACTAGATGACTTTGAAAGGTCCCCTCCAACTCAAACCATTCTATGATTCTATATTCCATGCTATATAATGTCATGCTCAGCAATAAAATGGAGAGGAGGCTTAGGGAGATTAGTCATCTTTTTCTCAGGACCTGGCTGGGCAAAGGTCCACCTGTCTCAGCCCAAATCTTGAGAAGCTAAAAACTTGGAGGCAGTTTCTCCTCTGCTGTACATCAGTGTAGCTTAACATGCAAGTGAAGATTGGGTCCATCTGCTTTATACTAGCCTGAGGATGATATTTTTGTTAAGAAGCTTTTGCAATTGCTGACAGGAGCCCCTATGCATTTATGATTTGCACTTCAGACGCCACTTTCTGGTTCCTCCAGCTCTTGCAAAAGGAGTCTTCCCAGGATAGCTTTCTCCTCTTATGTAGGTGTCTTCCTCTGGCTTACAAGGGAATCCAGAAAGAATTCCTCTTACTACATAGATATCACACCCTAGACTCAGTCTCACCGTACACCTCAAACAAAGAAGGTAAAAATGCACGTTACTGCTTCTATGCTTGAGGATGGGTCTCTCTCAGTATGCCACACAAGTGTGGTCACAACTGCTTCACTTGTACCCTTATCTCATATTCAACCTTCCTGATATGTCAGGATTCTTTTTTCCCCTAAACACATATTTCTTTTAAATGACATTATCACCCTTAAAACCATTTACACTTACTTAAAAGCCAATAGCGCTGAAAGTCAAGACACTTGAACCCGAGGCTTTCTTCACACTTTCACTTGATCTGCCAAAGAGACAAACGGTCTAACCTAGTTTACCCATGTTGGACAGGCTCTTGCAAGATTCTTTTCCAACTCAGACATACAGCACACTGAATTGTGTTGGGTTATCACATCACAGACGCAGTCATGAGGCCTGTGAAAGGTGTTGCCTAGACAAAATTTTGGCGGGATTGAAGGCTTCTCCTGCTAAAGAAAAAGAGATCATATGAAGTCCTGTTGGTTTTCAAAACCTTTGTCTGCGGCTTGCTGACTAAGCAGTCCTCTTGAGTGATAAGTGGAATTACATATGCACATGAAGTTATCCAGGTGTGATGACTACAGACCTGGGATCTTCCTGGTTTCTCACCAGCCCATGCTACCGGTTAGTAAATGTTATTCATGTTTAAGTTATTGAAATGGAAGGAATAGCTGTACAATCCATCAAGCAGCACTTGAAGAGGAAGGAAACGCTCTACAGTGTTTATTTATTTATCCATCCCTCATGGTCTGGTCAGCACAGCCAAGTGCTGCAATTGTCATTATTAACAAATCTGGCTTTTACACTCATTTGTAGATGAAGGCAAAATATTTAAACAATCATAGACTGTTTGAATGGGCTTTGTCAGGGATTTTGAAGAATCCTAATTCAAAAGTTCTCAATTTATATTTCGTTTGAGTAAAACCGTCAACCTCCAAATTTCTTGTTCATTTGTGTTAGATCTCCATTTAAGAAACTTTTGAAGCTTGATTTCAGTGGAGTTGCATCTGAAAAATGTATACATTCAGACATCAGGTGGCGTCTTTACTACTCTCCGGTGTCCCCCATTATCAAATATTTGCATAAAATCAGACCACATTTCTAGCTTCCTGACAGATGTCAGTGAACAGCTCTTCATAATTTGCAAACTACTGTTCATGATGAAATGTTCCAAACATCTTATTTCTGTCTTTTATTCAGTAATGGTTTATGTATTATTTTATAATATACTTTAGCTTGATCTCCAAACACATCAAGGAAAAGTATCTCCCCTCACCCAGTCTGACAAAAAATTAGCGAGGAAGATCAACATTAAAAAGAGAGAGGAAAAGAAATGTAAGAAAACAGGACTGTCTAGATTCACAGATCAGTCGCTGTGCAACTTAACGTTCAAGATGATTATAGGCGTTTGTTTAAATCAAACAGTGAAATAGAGCATCCCCAGCAGTGGACAACCCAGTCACCCTTCTTCAATTGCCTTCTGATTACGAGTTCATAAAAACACAACAAGAATTTATGTTAGTTTTTCGATTTGTAAAATCTCATTTGTGCACAATGAAGCTAGATTTCAACTCTTTTTTCTTTTCATAGCAAGTTGATTCCTTCTTGAAAGAGCATACCAGTACTCCCTTTTTGGAAGGACAGCCTGTGTCTGAGGCATATGTGATTGCATAAGTTTAATCAACACCACAGTAAAATCACTTGCTGTCTGATTACGTGTTTTATTCCCTTAAACTATCTCCCGTGAAACACCCAAACCATAACACGTAGAAAATCAAAAGATACGTAATTGTTATCTTATTCTGGTACACATCATTCAGTACCTTATGGTATTTTCAGGTAGTTTTAAAGTTTTAGAGAGTTGCTGGGTTCTTTAAGACATCTCTGAAAGTACGATGACGTGCAGAATATTTTCCTTGGCTTATGTCTTCTTTGGTACAACTTTTTCTCTTCTTTACATCTTTCTTTCAACCAGAGAGAACCAGACTTAACTAAGCTCAGTAGAATTGATGCTTCCTTGATCTTGGCTGCCTTCTTTGACTAATACCAAATAATTTAAGCCCTCTTGATTCCTTGTTTCCATTAGCATGGCTGAAAGAATACTGTCCGAATCTGCACATGGAACGTCACTATCTGCATTTAAAAAAAGAGACAAGACAACAGCTCAGTGATACACGTGTAGCGTCAGAAAGCGAAAAAGTCAGACAGCTGTTGGAGGAAGTTGGTCTAGTGACTGCATAAAGAGTGACTGACGATTCAAATTTATTTTCTGCTATTGCCTGTATGGATTATAGTTTCAAGGAAATCACTCCGGGAAGGCTGATCATCACCATTCATACCTCCACAGTCAGCGATACAGTTATGAATACATGACTTCTTTTGGTAGTAAAGGTAGGCCACATAAAGCCAAGGTGATTTTAACCTGTACCTTTGTGTAACCCTCCTAATAACACTGCTAGAGAGTCCTGTAACTTAATCAGTTTTCTACCTACTAAATCATTATATATTGTCTCTCTAGAGGACTTGTAATAATCTTTCTAAAAGCTTGAACTTGGCAATCCAGTGTGGTTTTCCGTTTCTAAAAACTTTATATTTTTTTCCCTAGTTTGATGCTGTTCACATATACAGAGTTGCCTGAAATCTGTTGCAGGAGATGCATCCTTTAAAAAATGTAAAAATGATTAACTAAAGGCTCAAGTTACAATTGTTGCTATTTTTTGCATTTATTTTTGTAGTATGTAACTCCTTTTATTATACTCCCTCCTTATTTTACTTCACAACTTGAAAATTAAGCACATGACATTCAGGGTTATCTGCTCAAAAGAATCGTAAGCACCAGGCAACGTACAATTTATTGTGTCACTGTAATCACACACACACAGCCCCAAGCTATAAAGTCAGAAGTCTGTTCTGCACACTAGAGTCCATTAGGAAAGATTACCAGGAAAAGTCTGAAGGAGAATTTTGATTTTAGAAACCTGTTAACAAGATGTGGATTGGGACACAGAGCAAACTGTGCTCACATACCACAGTGACTGACAGCTATGAAAAATCATTTGATACTCACTTTGTCAGTTCAGGACTATTATGGCAATATTTAGTAATTCAGTCCCGCATAAGCCTTTACCAACCCGTACAGCTCTTCTTTATAGTTGGGTTTTGTTTAATAAAGGCTTTTAATGGGAACCCTCAGGGGCAAGCTGCTTTGGAAAAGGCACACTGGCAAACGCTGAGGGCATGTTTGCCACAAACTCTGAAGAGAGAAAACTTAAAATAAGGACCCAAGTAAAACTGGGTATTTACAGACTAGACATATGCCGGCTGACCTGCCTAAGTATAGAACACTAGAGGAGCATTCAGATTTGTTTCCTGTATAAGTATCTGGAACTGATGAGGTGATGTTTACACAAATGTGAGTATGAGGTCACTGAGATATTTTTATCAGATATATAGATACATTACTAATTCTTTCCCCAACAGGTCTGAAGAACTACAGAATATATAAAATATTATAATCCTTTTTCAGCCTATGCACCTCTGTGTTTCTCATTATAGAGAAAGAGCTAAAAAATCAAACACCTTGCCTTGGTTTTACTTTTTGAGCTCTGGGAACAAAAGACGCAAGGAAGACTATTTTTTCAGAATATTCCTATCCTATCCTATGACAGAGGAAGAATATAATGTTGACGACCTTTCTCCTATGAAACAACATGTATAAGCTACATTGCCACTTTCACAATGAGATTTTTGACTACAGGTGCCCTTTCCTTCATTGTTGTGTCATCTCTCAGTGCAGTGTTCGGCACCTATGAAAGCTTAGCACCATTCTGCTGTACAAGCCAAGAAATCCATGCAAAGTCGTCAAGCTATGTAGTACAATGCTTGCTTCTCATGCAAGTCAGCAAAGCAAGTAAATAATTTTTGCTCATTTAGTTATGTGATGGATGGAGATAGAAGTTATGGAAAATAAGCAATTGAGGAAAAAAATCATTATATGTTGTGAAATTCCCCCAGAAATGTGAGAGCTAGAAGCACCACCAACACCCTGGGAAGCCATAAGCCAATGCAGAGAATTCTGAAGAATCTTCGGAAGCCCCTTCCAAAAAATGTTAAGAATTTGAAGGAAGACAGAGAGAAGTTGGAGTAGAGAGGTAGGTCAGTATATTAATGAGATATAATTATTTTCTTTTCAGTTTTAACATTGCTAAAATTAGTTGATTGATGTATAGTCATGCTGGGTTATACGTGAGTAAATGCAGAATAAACCATGTGATGTGATCCCCTCAGATTTCACAAGCAAAGCCTGGCTGAGCCAACAAACACCGCAAGAGGAGGCGTCCAAGGAACACCTTCATGGAATCTGAAGTCGTGACGGGGAGTCAAGTCCAAACGCTTAAATCCTGAGGGGCTGTCTACGCTGTGGATTGCTGCATAGTGTAGGGTTACCCATGTTCGCTTTAAACAACCTACCTCAGGACATGAGCTCTGTACAGGCTGAGAGGTACTCTGCTGAGAAGCAGGTTCCCGCTGAGCTCTGTGCTCTCTCAGGTAGACCGTTTCCATTAACTAAAATGGCGTGTTCAAAGCTCAGAGCTGTACTTGCATAGATACTTGTCTCAGGTCCTAAATGCATGTAGCTCTGCCCTTGCTGGACACTTTTCCTAGTAGTGGTGTGCTTAATGCACAACATCTGAGCCAAACTGCAGGTAAATTAATTACAATGCACCTCTCCAAGGGTAGGCAGAAGCTTATTCTAGATACCCTCACATTAATTGACGCAAGAAACTATGATCGCCTGACTCATTCTAATGAGGGATGGAGTTTGCTTGGTTAGGGTCCTCTGAGGAGACTGGTCCTGACCTGATAAAATCTGTGCTTCCCCCTCCCCAGTCTCAGCATCTTGGTCGGCTGCTTCCTGCCGCAGGCAGCCGCGGTGCCGAGCTGGGCCGCGTATCACAGAGTGTCTTTGCTTGCCTGCTCAGCAGGCTGTGTGGGCTCACAACATGTTTTGAAGTCTTGCCTGGAAGGGTGCAAATTTTTGTGATGTCTTGATACGCAGATGGGTTTTTTTTGGTGTTTAAGTTCAGAAGGTGACAACATATAATAAGGAAAAAAACGTCAGTAGAAAAGCTGATTGGTAGAGACTGAACAAACTGACCTAGAGATGCTGATCTTCTGTTACAGCTATTTCAGGGCCAGATCCTCAGCTAGCGCAAATTAACAAAGCTCCATACCAACCAGTGGGATGCCACTGATTTACACCAGCTAAACAGCCAGCCTGAGAAGTTACTAATTCTGGGTAACATAATACCATACGATGCTTAACACCTTCAATACGGTAAGGTATTTAGAAGTGCAGCCTCATTGGCTTTTTCTCACTAATACCCTCTTGTTTTTCTCATATATACCTTGCCCTTTGTCCCTGTCACACAATGTATGTTGTAGTAAAGAAGAGACTGGCTGGCTTACTGGCATGGCTGAAAGATGTACCCCACAGTGAACACATGCAGAAGAAGCACTTGATGACATATCTTTGTTAAGAGTGAGAAAGGTGGCTATTGAACCCTGACTTCTCCACCTCAGCTATGTTGGTTAGCTCAAGGAGATAGTTCCTGTGTAGGGAGTATTTTCCTGATACCTGCTGGCCACCTGGAGATGGAGGAACTGTGTTTCAGTTTCTGCACATTGCCAGTAAGAATATAAATAGAACAAATATATATCCGTTTTAATACTCCACTCTGTATTATATATCAGTGGAGATGTATCTGTGTTTCCTGTCTAATGAAGCATATGATCTTGCATGGTTTGAGGGTGACTCACTGGGGTTTGCTACTCTATCAGACACTAAAGGTGCTAAAAGGCAGAATTTTGTTCATCCTGCATTTCCACTGCACTAAACTGCATGAAGCATTGACTGCCTGTCTTTATTTTAACAGATTTTTCAGAGATCTTTGGACTGAAACCTCTGTGTGCAAGAAGCTATCTTGGGAAATGCGGATATAAACCTGTTTATTCTCTTGTTTATTATCATTTATAAGAGCACCAGAAAAGGCCAGTTCCACATTTGCTGCAATACAGTAAGGCTATATAAATAGGAAAGCACCCCCCTTCTCCAGACCACACAGCAGGATTCATTTTACTAAGTTTTAACCACCCAGATTTTATGTGTCCAGTTTAAGCTCCTTGCCGAGGCTGCCTGTACAGTCAATGGAGAGAGAAAGGAGGAATGAGTCACTTCGTGGAGATGCTTATTTCACACCCTTACCTTTACACAATAATACCCTCTGAACATGTCTCTGGTGACTGTCAAACAGCCTAGAAAGCCAGCATAAACGCAATGCCTAAGTTTTAATTGCTTCTATCTATACACCCGTACTACACAAATGTCAGCTCTTATAACATCCTGTTATCTGGGTTTTTTTCCTCAGTCCAAGGCAAAGAATTGTACCACGACTTTCCTTGCAGTGTCACGCGGCTCCTGTGCACTGTTTGGAATTAAACGGCGTTTGTCTAAGGAACAAACAAGAAATGATCATGCCACCAAGTCCCCCTTTTCCTGCAGTCTTGTAACCACTTACTGTTTTGGGAGAAGCCTTTTCTCTGACCTCCGCTGGCTTTGGGTCAGCCACTCACTAAGCTAAGTGGGGAAGAGGATTACTGAATTTCAGAAAAATACAAAGGAGACTAGATACAAGGTTTTGAAAATGTCTCTTATCAACACATCTGCTTTAGAGAAGCTTCCGTTTGTCCAAGTGATTACTTTAGGTTCAGAGAGGTGTGCAGAATAGTTTTTAAAAGGCAGCTGGTTTTAGGAAAATAAACTGATGATTCTCACACAGGGAAGAGCAACGCAGTACTACTCAGCCCAGCAGAGAGGGCAGACATATAATACATGATGAAATCACTGATTCCAGATTTTAATATCAAATCCCCTCAATGCAAAGTTTTGCACAGAGATTTAAAAAAACACAAGTGACATTTTTAGCTGAAAAGAATAAAAACACTGAGTGGCTAGCTTTGGAAAGAAAAATTTAAAAAAAGGGAAACATTGCAAAATTCTAACTGTTTTATCTTCCCATATTTTCAAGCAACATCTCCAGATTAGGGATTTTAAAATTATGGTTTTGAGGCCAAATGTGTTTTCTTTTAGTTTTTAGTCTTTTACTCTGGATTTCTTCAGGCTCCTTCCAAGTGCCTTGCATCTCCTCTCGCCAGAGAGGCCACTTCTGGCAGTAAGAGCGTACTGCTCCGACACAGCTTCTGAGCAAGTAGACATTTTTTCCTTATAGGTCCAAAAGGGATAGTGGGGAGCAGCCCTGATAAGAATAGTCCTCCTGGGTCATAAAAGCAAGGAGCCGCTCCAGCTGCTTAATGCCCAGTTGTCTGATGTCGGCAAAGAGGTTTGCCAAAACAAACAGGTGTTTCCATCCGTAAAGGGGCACGCTTGGGACCTGAAAAAATATAGTGCTGTCTTGTATGTGCAAATGTAAAAAGTTATGTCTGAAAATAGATGGACCGGTTATTTTTATAGCAATGTAGGGCCATCCTGTTAGCGCGCTGATTCATGACATTTCATTTGCACTTCTTGAAACTGGGGGAAGGACAGCGTATCTTTCAGCAGGGAAGGGAGACTCTGGTGATGGGGTCTCTGCTCAATCAGTTCCAATTGGATCAAAACCGCACTGGTGTCTCAGTCCTTCAGCTGGATAGTGCTTCCCTCACTCAAAAAAATGTTGTTAATGATACTTAACGCCGACAACGAATGTCCTGAGAAAGACCATGAGAGCAAGAAGGAAAAACTCTAAACCTGGTTCTGGTCCTGAGTTTGCTTCCCTCCCTTCCAAAACAGCAGTGCCAGGAGCTGCTGGTATTGCTCTGGCATATTTATTGCCCCTTGATACCTCCTTTAGAAGGGTAACTCTTGCAATAATAAAGCCAGTGTCTTCATGTTATCCTGTTAGCGTGCTGTCCAGACCACTAACATGCTGTGTGTATTAGTTCACACACACTTGCAATCTGTGTCATACTGCACCAGCATTAATGTTGCTGAGAAAATCTAACATTTTTCAGTTCTCCCACCTGTGAGATAACACTGACAGCATGTACAGACCTGCTGAAGGTGTGGCTACCTACAAGTAGGTAAGGATCAACAAAATTTGGAAGTTGTATGATTTCATGAGGGCTATGTATCATAGTTATTTTGAGGCCTGTCGTTTCACTTTGCTTGACATTTGGCTCCTTCTTTTGGAACCAAGTCTCCTGGTGAGAGCAAGCATTTCTTGGCGGGAGGCTCATGACGGGAGTTTCGTTACATACAAAGGCCAATGACCGCGTAACATTTTTGGAAAATGTTGTCCAGGACAATTCGTCATGGAACAGTCTTTTGGATTATTTGTTTTGGCTGTCATCTTTCTACTACTACTACAAACACAAGAAGTACTTCGCTTAGTCCCAGCTAAGAATGAATGCAAATTTTAAAAATCACTTACTTATTATACAGTGTTTTACAAATTGCAGACTGAGACATATTCCATGCCCCAAACTATTTATGACAGGGTCATAATGGAGCATGCATTTTAGTCTGGAAGCTCGACTAGAACCCGAATTGCTGGTTCTTGCTTGAATCAGTCACACTTCTGGAGCCCATGTTTCACTGAACTTCGCTGCACGAGATTTACATTGCAGGCAGAAAAACAGTTGAATTAATTTAAGGCTGGAGAGCTCCAGGAAACTGACATGCATGTGTCCCTGATCAGATAATCCAGCAACTTTAAGATATCACCAGGACTCTAGGCCTTCAGTCAAGTACGCAGCATAACATTTTAATGGGCTTA